CTCCAAAGCATAGCAGTCTCAGGCCATTTTGTAGGTGCAAACAACCCTTGGGAAATTTGAATAGCTCTCTATTTCAGTAAAACACAATTGATGTAGGGGAGAAAGCCAAGTGTGCTATACTTGAGGCTATAGTTAGAAAAGTAGGAAGAGCCCTAGACCAGGATTAAGGAGACCAAGGTCCTATTCTGCCAACCACTAAAACTAGATGTAACTTTGAACATACCACTTAACCTCTTAGGACCTCAGTTTGTTTTCTCATCTATAGAGCAGCAGGTTGAACTTTTGATCTCTTCGTAAAATTCTATGAACTGTGTTTACAATGATGACATTAATATTTAAGAAAAATTGTATTATACTTTGAAAAGACAACAAAATTTCATCATCTCTAGTTTATACAAGTCCTCTGAGGAGTATGATTATCCATATTATATAGATGAAAAAGTAGGCTTAGAAAAGATGTTTAGTGGTAGAGCTGGTATTCAAATCTATTGGTGTCTGCTTCCTGGGCTCTTAGTTAATACTTTCATTTAACAAGCATGCATTAAATGCCAGCCATGTGGGAAGAGTGTGCTAGGCACGGGGAACAAACACAGAGGCCATCAAGCCTCGTTCCTGACCTTGAGAGTTCAGTTAGGCCCTGCTGTATAGCAGCTCTGTTAGTGCTAATGATATAAATGTTACGACAGCACTGTTTTGACCAGTTAGGGGTTTTAAAGGGTTTTGTGTGAGCTCTGGCTGGCGTTGCTCAGTTAAACATTGGTGGCCAGTTCGTACTGGTCAGGGCATGTGCCCGGGTTTTGGGCTCAATCCCCAGTAGGGAGCATGCAGGAGGCAGCCAATCAATATTTCTTTTTCTCTCTTTCTCCCCCTCCCCTTTCCCCCCTTCCTCTCTCTCTCAAATCAATAAAAACATATTAGCCTGGCTGGGCGTGGCTCAGCAGTTGAGCATTGACCTAGGATCCAGGAGATCCCAGTTTGGTTCCCAGACAGAGCACATGCCCAGGTTGTGGGTTTGATCCCCAGTGGGGGGGTGCAGGAGGAAGCTGGTCAATGACTCTCATCATTGATGTTTCTTTCTATCCCACTCCCTTCCTCTCTCTGAAATCAATAAAAATATATTTTGAAAAAGGAAAAAGGAAAAATAAATAAATAAAAACATATTAAAAATTAAAAAAAAGATTTTAGGGTATAAGCATAGAACTCAGCCACCATTTATAGCATTGTCTCTATGGAAATAAGTGTCAAGTTCCAAATAACTAGCTTAAAAATAAAGTTTTAGAACATAACTCAGTTATAACTTCAGAACTTCCTGTAGTATGTACCCATTGTGCAGTCTAATAACTAGCCAGAATACCTGCTCTAAAAAGTGAGTAAAATTTTCTAAACTTGATCATGTCTGTCATTTCAGTGCCTTGAGGTGAAACCTTTTATCTTTAGGAGCCTGTACAACTGGTTCTTCCTGGAAATTTCTAGGGAAAACCTAAACATTTAAAATATATATATATATCTTTATTGACTTCAGAGAGAGGAAGGGAAAGGGAAAGAGAGAGAGACAGAAACATCAGTGATGAGAGTCTTTGATTGGCTGCCTCCTGCACGCCCCCTACTGGGGACTGAGCCAGAAACCCAGGCATGTGCCCTCACCAGAATTCAAACTGTGATCTCCTGGATCATATAGGTCAGTGCTCAACCTCTGAGCCATGCTGGCCAGGCAAAAACCTAAAGTTTTTAATTAAGTTTAAATTTAGAAACTGGACAATATATCCTGGAAAATGGTATTCTATGAAATAATTTTGCTGAGGTGACCTTTTTTTAAAAAAAATAAATTTTTAATTGATTTTAGAGAGAGAGGAAGGGAGAGAGAAACATCAGTGTGAGAGAGATTGATCAGTTGCCTATTGTATGCACCTCAACTGGGGACAGAACCCACAACCTGGGCATGTGCCTTGATTGGGAATTGAACTGGTGACCTTTTGGTGCACAGGACAATTCTCAACCAAGTGAGCCACACTATCCAGGGCTGACCTTATATTTATAGGTGGTAAAATTGTTAAGGCCGTGATCTCAGGCTGAAGAGTCCTGTTGCTTGTGTTCTATTCTCACCAAGTCCTCTGTAGCGTTAGGAAAGTTATATAATGTGTGCCTCTGTTTTATCTGAAAAAATGGTTCTTAAAACATTACCTACTTTGTAGGGTTTGTTAGGATTAAATGATAAAATTATATACATACTTAACATGCATACATACATGTATGTAAAGCGTATGATATGCACATAGACATTTGCTTAGACTAGAGCCTTACCCACTGATAGTAAGTCCAGTAAAACAAATTATGCTTTCCCCTCCCATTACATTTCCAAGCTTTTGTTTATGCTGCTGTGTAGTTTAGTACTTAATTATTCTCGGGTTGTTTCTTGGTTTAAAATTTAATCCCTTATATGTAATTAGCTCTATCGTAAACCATCCTTCTTTACTCTCTACCTCAATACTCTAGGCAGTATTAGGAATATTGTAGGTGTTCAATATGTTCTGATACTCTGATTTATAAACATGAGAGAATCCTTTCATTTCAGGCTTCTTAAAAAGCTATCTGGACCTAGCCGGTTTGCTCAGTGGTTAGAGTGTTGGCCTGCAGACTGAAGGGTCCCAGGCTTGATCCCCAGCCCTGGTTGGGGCGTGTGCGAGAGGCAACCAATTGATGTGTCTCTCTCACATGGATGTGTCTCTCTCTCCCATCCACTGCCTCTGAAAAGCAGTGGAAAAAATGTCCTCAGTGAGGATTAGAAAAAAAGCTCGTCTGTAGCTCTCAAGCCCTTGTATTCATTAAGTACATACATTCAGTGAGATAAGACATGGAAATAGGTACCAGGGAATGAATATATGTTTAAAGGTCCTTTGAGATCCAGCGATAATTGTTAGTAGTCCAGAGACCTCATGCTGATCGAGGCTCTGCTGTAGACTCACTGAGGCTATGCAAATCGTCCTCGGGCCTCCTTGGTAATGCAAGTCTGACACAAATTAGAGGGTGATTATTTGCCTTACTGACAGGGTCAACTCCAGAACTCCTTTTAAGTTACTTCTTCATCTACTTTATATGCTTATTTATAGACCCTTAAATTATCATTTGACTAAGACTAGGGCAAAAGAACATCCAGCAAAGCTTTTTCCAATGTAAGAGATTTAGCAATGAAGGAAAAGTATTTCTGAAACCTTACTATGTCAGTGAGAAATGTACTGAAATAGTTTACACAGTATAATGTAGGGAACACGTCTACTGGATAAGACGAGATGCAAATATATGGGTAAAATGATATTACAGGTAGAGTTCAAATGGGTAGTCACAGGTGCAAGAGCACCTGGCCTATAAGCCCTGTGTTAAGGACTCATGCGCTGTCCTTGTATTCAGGGCACACTGTATAGTACTAAGGAATATGTAGTAACTACTGTACAGTTGTTAGTACCCGTCTGGGTGGTTAGGAATCCTAGTACCTACCTTACCAATTAACTATACCCTAAATACATTATTTTACAACCATAGATCTTGCCCTTCTATGAAATAAGAATTTTGGACTAGATTAGATCTCTCTAAGCTGTAAAAGTCTATGAATATCTAAATTGCTTAATGTGCTTGGTGGCCGTTTTTTAATTTAAGATGAGCTGGTAAACTTTTTTAAACTAAATTTCTAAAAATCCAGTGTAAAATTTTCATAGCACCTAACTTCTTATTCTTCCTAGAGAACTGCATGCACACTGGATGTGCTAGCCTAAGGCGAACCCTTTGGCTTTAGATCTCATTTGAAGTTTCTGCTCTCAGCCCCAAGCCCTTGGCTTCTAGCTGTAATAAATTTGTTCTACCAGTGATGCAAGTAGTAGCACAAACAAAAGCAACCACCAGTTTCAGTTATAAAAACAAGAACAACTGGCCTTGGCTGGGTAGCTCAGTTGGTTAGAGCATCGTCCTGATAGGCCAAAGTTAGGGGTTTGATCTCAGGTCAGGGCACATTCAAGAAACAACCAAGAAATGCATAAATATGTGGAACAACAAGTCGATCTCTCTCTCTCCCTCTCCCTCCCTTCCCCCCTCCCTGCCCCTTCCATTCTCTCTGAAAAAGCAATGGAAAAAATATCCTCAGGTGAGGATTAAAAAGAAAAAAGAAAAAAAAATTCAAGGAAAGGATATAGGTAAAGGTCCCACCACAGTTCTTGCCTTGTTCACCACCCACTCCATCCTTTGCCAGATAACCACTTCATTCATTTATTGTATGTCTTTCAGGAGTTTCTTTATACAGAGCAGCAAAATACTGTATTTTAATTTTTACCCCAGTTTTACACACACAGAGGCATATTATACTGTTTGTACTCTGTTCTTTATAACCCTGTCCCCCATTCACTTAAATATATTTTTTGTAGATCTCTACAAAGGAGTATGTAAAGCAGTCCTTTATTCTTTTTTTATACAGCTTTATTCCATTTTATGAACATACCATAATACATTTAATCAGTTCTCTTTTGGTGGGCATTTAGATTATTTTTAGTTATTTGCAGTGTAAACAATATTGCCATGATAAACTGTGAATATGCACCATTTCACAAATGCACAAGTATATCTGTAGGAGACATCCTTGGAAGCGACACTGAAGCTATAATTTTGGTAAATATTGCCAGATTGTTCCTCCTGGGGTTTGTACCAGTCTATACTCCCACCATTGATGTGTGAGAGTACTAATTTCCTTGCATATGTGCCAAAGGCATGGTTTTATGAAGCTTCTGGATTTTTGCCAATCTGATCGTGTAGTTTTAATTTGCATTTATCTTGTGATTGATGGTTGAACATCGTATATATTTAAAAGTATTTGTGTTTCCTTTTTTTGTGGACTTTAAAATCATATTGCTTTTATCTTAAAAATTTCTATTTAGTTGTTGGTCTTTTAAAAATTTATTTATGAAAGCTCTTTATATATTAGGGAGGCTGGACCTGTGTGATTTGAGNCCTCCCCTGTCTCTAAAATCAACTTTAAAAAAAGAACAACTGAAATATAGCAATTCTTTTATTTAAAACTGTTTACAAGCTTTACTATATAACAAAGTTCACTAAGTTTTTTTGGTGGCATTAAAGATACCAAAAACTTGAAAAGAGAGCAAACTTCTGTTGGAATTTGAGTGAAATTTATTAATAAAAGTAAATGAATATAAAAATTTTAATGCAAAAATTATCCTTGAGATAAGCTAAAAGTCTCACAGGTATTTAGATCCCTCACCCTGGGCACCGCCCCCCACCCCTGTCTTTTGATGTTATTAAGCCTCCTTAAAGCTTTTCTGAATGAGATGTAACAAGAACACAGTTGCTGGTACTAATGTATTAATGACTGCTCTTAAGTCGGTCTTCCTAAAATTGTTTTTACTCAGAAATTGGACATTTGCATAATGACACCGATGAAACTACAATTTTAGGTCAGCCTCAAAGCTGTAGTATTAGCGTTAATTTTAGACACAGTACTTGCTCAGCTTCCAGCTCTCTGAGGGGAAGATTGAAATAGAGAGACATGAGGCAAGAAGGCAGTAGGATTCATACCCAGGCCTGTCTGACCCAGAGCCTTGTTCTCCTCCACAGCATGGTACCTTTCACAGAGTAGATACTTGACTGAGTACATGTTGAATGAAGTCACTAACCTAGAAAAAGTCAAAATTCTTCTGCACCTTATATCCTTGAGATTACAGAATACCTGTACTATTGCCGACTCTCAGTACAATATTCAGTGAATATTTGTTGAGTTAATAAGTATACATTAAAGTGCTATCGATGCTCTTAATTGTTTTAGTGTTTTGTTTGTGTTAACACCGAATGTATGCATTTTCACTAATTTAATTGATTGCAACTATAGTTACAGATGTGCTGTCATCTTGGTCTTCTATCTAGTTGCATTAATTTTGGTTACCATAAAACTGCTTTTCATTTAAATTAGAAGGGTCCTGGGAACCTTTAACCTCTTCATGTCATTATTTCAAATACAGGATATTTAAAACCTGGAAATTTTTACAGATTAACTGTTGGCTTTCATACTGCTGTACTCCTATTTGGAAGGAAACTAAACTTATCTAGTCAAATTTAACTCCTGATACTTACGTAAGCATCACAACCACACAGCTGCCACTGTTACTTCCATTAATTATTACATGCCAAGCGCTGTACATTGTACACTTTGCTTCTATGAATCCTCATGTTTGATGCATTATTTGAATTATTATTTATCCCCACTTTGAGACTGAGGAAACTTGGGGTCAATGAGAATAAACAAGTTAAGGCAGCAAATTCTAGACTGGAGCTCAGATCTGTCTGAGCCATGCCTGTACTCTTTCCACTGTACCATACTGTCCTCAACAACATTTGTCTCTGCTTCCACACAGGGCATTCATTATCCCCCGAATGAGTTTCATTTTAAACAACTTATCACTAGAAGAAAAAAAAAATTGAGGTAATATCTATCCCTCTGCCTCTTTCTCTTTGATTTATTATTTATTAAAGGTCTCTCTGAATCCTACATAAAATAGGCTCGGGGGTGTCAAACTTTTCTCATTTTCTCCTACAGTTTTCATTCATAAGTACAGTTTTTAAAGACTTCATGACAGTGAATTGTAGGGTGTGGATTTATCCTGGTTTACTAACAATTCCCTTATTATCCAGCCTTTCAAATTATAAATAACACATTAATGAAAATCTTTGTGCATTAATTGCTTTTTTTAAACTTAGGTACATGGTGAACATGATTCTTCACAGTTTTGACACAGATATCAGAATCACAAAAGGTTGAAACATTGTACCTACTTGAAATATTTGAACTACCTTATGGAAAAGGCACAGTGGTTGCAGTGTCAAGAAGGCAGTAGTTCTCATTACGAGCCACCTTCATTTCCCCAGTACATGTCAACAGCACTATTTCTTGTGCATCCCTAGCTGTGCAACTCTCTCCGTAGGCAGGGAAAGGGAGGCTAGATGAGTTTTTAGGCAGTAGGCAAAAGGAAAGGAGTATGTTATCCATGTGTGATCTATGACAAACAGATAAAGAACAAGTGAAGTAAGTCAATTTAGATACTGTCTTAATTACTACTACAAGGATTGAAGAATTTGCGGACTTTGAAGAGTGAACATTTTATTTCTCTGAACAGCTTGTTAAGTTTTTATGTTCAAATTGTGTAGGAACTTATTTTTTCAGTAGAAAACAGATTCTGAAATTTTATGTATACAGATTAAAAATTGAGGCTAAAATTGGATCTTATTTTAGTTTTGTAACATAATAGGTAGGACTTCCGGTGCTTTTAATATTTTCCTCTCCTTTTTTATCAAAGTCAGCTCCCTACATTAAAAATACTTAAAATGTGTACCATATGTTACTAAGTGAAAAAAACTAGTTGCAGAAAGTAATGTAGTATGATCCCATTTAGGTTTAAAAAACAAATATGCAACAAAAGCAAAACTATGTGCCTAGCACATAGTAGGTACTCAATATCTGTTGATTCTGTATGTATCCATAGAAACTGATCTGAAGATATACAATCCAGAGTGTTTGGAGAGGTTACCTCTAGGAAGAGGTATGCAATCTAAGGTGTGTTTTTATTCTATATACTTTTATGTTTGAATTTTTTTGCAATGAGCATGCATTACTTTTGTACACTTTTTTTTAAAATCAAAGAAAAATTTACAATCTATGGATAGACACCTCTTCCCAAATAGGTCCACTGCTGTTTATACCCTAAAGTGCATGTCAAGCAATAAAATATAGGTATTCTGACTCTACAGAATTACTGCTTCTCCTGTAATCAAGAAAAAAGCACTGATCAAACCTATTTGCTCGGTGCCATTTCCATGTAATTTAATAAGCTTTTTGAAATAGAATTTTTCTAAGGAAATTTTCAATACAAAAATTGAATAATACCTATCTCCCAGCTTCTGTAGCTATCAACACATGACCAATCTCATATCATCTATAGCCCCATACCCAACCAACTATATTATTTTCAAGCATATAATTTCACCCGTAAATATATCAGTATGCATATCTAATAGATAAGGACTTTTTTAAACATAACTGAAATGTTCTTATCACATTAAAAAATGAGCAATAATTCCTTTATATCCATCATCTAAGAAGTTTTTAATATTTTGCAATTTAGTTACTAATTTAAGTTGCTATTTTATTTACTTTCATTGTTTATATCCTTTAAGTACTTTTAAACTTGTGTCTTTTTTCCTTTCAAATTTATTATACATTTTCCCTTGTAGAGTTGTAATGAAACCAAAATGATGATTTTTGCTTGACTTTGCTTGTATTTCTTAAAATGAGAAGCTTGAATAAATGGCGGGGTATTTTCACCTCAAATTTAAAATATGATTCAGGTATATATTATTGAATTTTGCTACATTAGAATGGAAGACTTGATTCATAGCCTTGACTGTAATAGCAAAGTCGACTACACAAGTCACAAATCATGATCAGAATTACTCTTTTGTTCAGTTGCTTTTCTGATATCTTGTCTGACTGTAATATTTTTGTTTTACATAGGTCTCTAATTAATAGAAGATGGCAAAGCCCAGCCACAGCAGCTACGTCCTTCAGCAGCTAAACAACCAAAGGGAATGGGGTTTTCTCTGTGACTGTTGTATTGCAATTGATGACATTTACTTTCAAGCACACAAAGCTGTTCTAGCTGCTTGTAGCTCTTATTTTAGAATGTTTTTCATGAACCATCAGCATAGTACTGCACAACTGAATCTCAGCAACATGAAAATTAGTGCTGAGTGTTTTGATCTCATTTTGCAATTTATGTATTTAGGAAAAATTATGACTGCTCCCTCCAGTTTTGAGCAGTTTAAAGTGGCAATGAATTACCTACAGCTGTACAATGTTCCCGACTGCTTAGAAGACATACAGGATGCAGATTGTTCTAGTTCAAAATGTTCATCTTCTGCTTCTAGCAAACAGAACAGCAAAATGATATTTGGGGTAAGAATGTATGAAGATACTGTGGCCAGAAATGGCAGTGAAGCCAATAGGTGGTGTGCAGAGCCAAGTTCAACAGTAAATACACCACATACCAGAGAGCCTGATGAAGAGTCTTTACAATTAGGTAATTTTCCTGAACCACTATTTGATGTGTGTAAAAAAAGTTCTGTGTCCAAATTATCTACTCCAAAAGAACGTGTGTCACGACGCTTTGGACGAAGTTTTACCTGTGATAGTTGTGGATTTGGCTTTAGCTGTGAAAAATTATTAGATGAGCATGTGCTAACCTGTACTAACAGACATTCATACCAAAACACGAGATCCTATCACAGAATAGTAGATGTTAGAGATGGAAAAGACAGCAATATCAAAGCTGAATTTGGTGAAAAGGATTCTTCTAAGACCTTTTCTGCACAGACAGACAAATACAGAGGAGACACAAGCCAGGCTGCTGATGATTCGACTTCAACCACTGGAAGCAGAAAGAATAGCACGGTGGAGTCTGAACTAGCTAGTGAAGAAAAAAGCAGAGCTGCTGAGAGGAAAAGAATCATCATCAAGATGGAGCCAGAAGATATTCCTACAGATGAACTGAAAGACTTTAACATTATTAAAGTTACTGATAAAGATTGTAATGAGTCCACTGACAACGATGAATTAGAAGATGAACCTGAAGAACCATTTTATAGATACTATGTTGAAGAAGATGTCAGTATTAAAAAAAGTGGTAGGAAAACTCTAAAACCTCGGATGTCGATAAATGCTGAGGAGAGAGGTGGTTTAGAAAATACGAGGCCCCCTAACAATAGCAGTCCAGTACAAGAGGATACTGAAAATGCATCTTGTGAGCTCTGCGGACTCACAATAACTGAGGAGGACCTGTCATCTCATTACTTAGCCAAACACATTGAAAATATCTGTGCATGTGGTAAATGTGGGCAAATACTTGTGAAGGGTAGACAGCTTCAGGAACATGCTCAAAGATGTGGAGAACCCCAAGATCTGACAATGAATGGGTTAGGAAATACTGAGGAGAAAATGGACATGGAAGAGAATCCTGATGAGCAGTCTGAAATAAGAGATATGTTTGTTGAAATGTTGGATGATTTTAGGGACAATCATTTCCAGATAAATAGTATCCAAAAAAAGCAGTTATTTAAACATTCTGCCTGTCCTTTTCGGTGCCCTAATTGTGGCCAGCGTTTTGAAACCGAAAATCTAGTGGTTGAACATATGTCTAGCTGCCTAGACCAAGATATGTTTAAGAGTGCCATCATGGAAGAAAATGAAAGAGATCACAGACGAAAGCATTTTTGTAATCTGTGTGGAAAAGGATTTTATCAGCGGTGTCACCTAAGAGAACACTATACTGTTCACACGAAGGAAAAACAGTTTGTGTGTCAGACATGTGGAAAGCAGTTTTTAAGAGAACGTCAGTTGCGACTGCACAATGATATGCACAAAGGCATGGCCAGGTATGTCTGTTCCATTTGTGATCAAGGAAACTTCAGAAAACATGACCATGTGCGGCATATGATTTCTCATTTATCTGCTGGTGAGACTATATGCCAGGTCTGCTTTCAGATATTCCCAAATAATGAACAGTTGGAACAGCACATGGATGTTCATCTGTATACATGTGGAATATGTGGAGCAAAATTTAATTTGAGGAAAGATATGAGATCACATTATAATGCCAAGCATTTGAAAAGAACATAAGTCATTTTCTATTCTAATGTTTAGTTGATAGCAGACAAAACACCAAAGCAAAGGATATGAGCTATTTAGAAATTGATTTTCTAAGCTGAATTGTTAGAAAAAAATTTCAAGGCCCTTTTACCTTAAATATTTTTGTTTAGGATCTTAAGTATCTACATTTTAGGTGTTATTAAATGTTTATCATTTTTGTTTTTTCTTAATAGAATTCTTTGTTTTTAGTTTGTTTTAGCTATGATTAAAATTACTTTTAAATGTAGACTACAAGTGGTTGTTACCCCTTTAATGACTATTAAACTTTAGTTTTTTTATCAATAAGGTAATGACTTCACTATTTCTATGTGTTTTTTTTTTTTTTTAAGGTTATCCTGTGAAATTTTAAACCCAACATCATTGGCCATTCCTGTTTAAAATTTAAAAAGCTTTTTTAAAGTAATTAGTTATTTGAAGTTATCCCATTCACTGTTAGCTTTTTTTTTTTTTTTCCTTTTTGGTAAGTTGGACAGTGATTTAGCCACTGTTTATTCCCCCTTCTTATCAATGAAATTCATATTCTCATTAGGCAGGTTAGGTGCACTGAATCTAACCTTGAAGGTTGACATGGGCTCAAACTTGGCCTAAAAAAATTGATGGACCTAAGGAAATTCCTATAAATGATTATTTTCCTATAATTGATAAAATATTATCATTTAATAATCACATTTAAAACTTATATTAAGTGTAAAACCCAATGACTTTACCCCGTTTGAGAAATTCATGGGGACAAGTCATTTTGTTTTGTGATATTAAATTTAACTATGATAGTTAATTAAAAAGATATCTTGTATTCATTTAAAATAATTTAAAATATTCTGATTTCTAAAGTGTGTTAGTTTATCAATTATTTTTGTTTATATAAATAGATTTTAATAGTTCTCTAGGAATATGACATCTAAAGGAAAATGATTTTTCACCTTTAAAATTACATACTTTTGGAACTTAATTTGAGAAAGCTGCCATGTATATTGATAAAGCTAATAAAATAAAGAAATCAATTACAAATCTGATTGTTCTATAAAAGTAGAATGTGCAAAAAAAATGTCTTGTGTTTTATACTATTTAAGACTTGGAGAAAATGTGATTTGGCAAATTGCTTTTATCACCATGCTTTTTTTTTTTTCTTTAAAGGACTACAAAATTTGAGGACTATAAAATAATCACAGAGCATATGAATGGAAATAGTTTATCATTTTTTAGTTAAAGTAGTATTACTGTTAGTTGTTGCTGACATAGGGTCTACATGAATTACATGTGAATTAAAACACTGGCTAACTGACCCGCCAATAAACACAACTATTGAATAGAATGCCTTTTAATGTGAATTATTTGCATTGTAATACCATTCTCATAATGAAAGGGATTTTAAATAACTCTTATATTTAAAAGTATAATTTTGTGATTATGACTAGCATTGCTCTTTTTTTACATCAGATTTTTAAGATATGCAGGTCATATTTTTGTATACAACTTGCATAAAAGAACAAGTTGCCAAGAGAATTTAGAGATCTATTGACTAGCACAGATTTAGTTGACAGAAGTATTTTAGAGCACAGTGTGAGCTTAGAGGTTTCTGGGGAGACGTTGATGTGTTAAAATAGGAATAGTACAGGAGCCATGCAATATTAATGGGAAGTAGAGATGGGAAAAATACACAAAAAGACAAATGATAAGTCAAGGATTTTTTTTTAGAGCCACATAGTAGAAAAGTGGTTCATCTTAGTCTTGGATACAGTAGTTTAGCAAGTACTGTAATTAAATCTAAAATGCAACTTAAAAATGAGATATGCTATATACATTGCTGATAGGAACCTGATAAAGTTCTGTAACAAACCCAGAGACAATCAGAGAATAGTGTAGAGAAATAAGATAAACTCAAACCAAATTTCTAAACTATGTAATAACATAATTTTCTTTGGGACCACTGTTTTACGTGACCTTCATCAAAATTATTGCAATGGCTTTCCCACCATTAAAGAACAGGGTTCTTTCTTTCTAAGTACTACCACTAGTACCAATCCATTTCTTAATGGGTTGTCTATTCCGTTAGGAAAAGGGATAACTTAGTGTTTTGACATGTACTAATAGCCAACAATTAACAAGCAAATATAGGGTGTCCCCCCAAAAATGTATATACACACTTTGAATAATTATAAAGGCAGTGTTTATGAAAATACATTTCATTTTCAAAATTGAGCTATCAGCTGTTAAAGTGTGTATACATTTTGGGGGAACACCTTGTATATAAACATTTAACATAATCTCTAATTTTACATGACTGAGATGTTTATAATTTCACAAAGCCACACTTCAACGATGTTGTTTTCTCCCAGTCTCATGTTACAGAGGACACAAACCTTTTGTTCTAGAACTAGCTACAGGGGAGCACAGGCTTCTTTAAATATAATGTATAGTTTTCCTTGTTAAGGCAAAGAGTTCATTTAAAGGCTACTTGCCTTTTAAAACTAGGAGGAATGAAAAATATCCAACAACTCTGTCCAGCTCAGTTTCCTCTCATTTTTCCCCTCTCCTGGGGTGGATTTACAACTCTGTAGCTTACCATTGCTTCTTGTCCTCCAGTGCTGTGAAGACAGTGAATCAAGGTTATGGAAGCTGTATGCTCCTCCTGCCTTTATAATTTGAGTGATCAGGCTCCAAATCTAAAAATAAAAGGAATATCTGGATAGAGATATGTGCAATCTTGTTTCTCTTTCTGTCTCATAAACACAGTCTTGCTTAAAAGGACTTTTCTCTAGCAAGAAATTCTGGAGAAATGGAGTTGGTGCCCAAAAAGCTTGCCATCAATTACAGTACAACTCAGATGTTTATAATTCTTTAGTATACAGGACTAAGAATCTCAGAGATTAATGAAGCACAGCCAAGTGATAGTAGACAAGGGCTCTTAATCTCTCATATATTCAGAGAAATGCCTTATCATGTAAGTAGTTGAATGTGTGAGGTTTGAGTATAGACAAAAATTAGAAGAATTCCAGGGGCTAGTTGTAAAAATAAAAGAATTAAGGAGTTTGCTAGTGCACTCAGCACCAATTAAAAGAAATAATAGACTGACCTGAAAAATCATATCTAAGCAATATAGTTAAGAACAAAAATATGAACAAGAAAAGTTGAATAGAAAGAAACATTTGAAATTTTCTAAGTAAGATGAGTAAAGATTGAAGTAATTTGGTAGGTTAAAATAATTTGATTATGCCCTGGCCAATGTGGCTCTGTTGGTTGGGTGTCATCCTGTGCACCAAAAAGTTGCTGGCTCATTCCCTGGTAGGGGGCGTGCAGGAAGCAGCTGATCAGTGTTTTGCTCTCACATCATTGTTTCTCTTCCTCTCCCTTCCTCTCTTAAAAGTCAATAAAAAAACTTTAAAAAATTATTTGAATACATTAAAATAATTCAATTAGAGCTATAGAATGCCTAATGAAACAATTATTATGAATGTGCCAAGGATATGCCTAAATACTTGAGATAATATACAAACTTTTATATTCTAAAAAAGTTGCAAGAGGGTGGTGGTGGTTGGCAACTTTCTCCCTGGTGAAAACAATATTTGTATCTCTAAATCACTTTAGAAACTTCCATATTAATAGATCTCTGGAAAATCCTCCCCCAACTAGTGTAATGGTTAAACAAGAACTTGTCATTATTGTTAAAAGCTAAATCAGTACCAATCAAAAGAAAAATAACCTGAATGTGTATGTGCACACATAGTTGAGAATTAAGAAGTTTGGTGTATTTTTTTCCTAATTTCAAATGGGTTTTTAATGAGTTAAAAAAAAAATTGGCCATTAATCTACTTTGATCAGTACCTCATCTTTCCTCACCACCCCCACCTCCTGTGTAACAAATGCTTCTCAGTGATAAATGCTACTGCTCTGCAAGCACCCTAGCATTACTAGGATTCCAGGGTACTGGAAAGCTCTGTGGGAACATCCTTGTGGAATGTCTCCCTTCTCCTTAATACCTGAGGTGCAGTAAACTGGGAGTGACAGGATGCATGCCAGGGAACTGAAGCAAGTAGTTATATTTGGTGTTAAATTGAAGGGGCAGGCCAGATTTGGAAACCCATGATCCATCCATCCTAGGGCTCTCTCTAGTAATCCTCACATCCATTCAGAGCACTCTTCCTACTCTGCTGAATGCTTTTACATGTGTAATTTTAATCAATCCTCACAGCCTTATGAGGTAAGTATCATTCTAATTTTCCAGATGGGGACTGAGGTTCAGAGAGACTATTTTTTTCCTGAGACCACACAGAAACTAAATACTAGATACTAGAGCTGGAATTTGAACCTAGACCTATCTGATTTCTACATTCCTGTATTTCACCACCACCAAGCTATATACTCCACCTACCAAGAAGTACAAAGAAGGGCTTTTTCAGCCTAGGAACACATGCAATGAAGCTCCTATGAGACTCTGTGCTCCTTGTTCATCACCTGTCACCTGCGATGCCTGAGAATGTAGCTGGTAATAGTGGGTACCTAATGAACATGTTGAGTAATGTGAAAATATATCAGCCAAGAACAAAACTTTTTATTTGAATAGGTCATTCAGAATGATGTTTTGGAAATAAAGCCTAAATACTGCTATGTTTTCATTTTCCTTTATTTAAATTTAAAACATTTAGTGGTATTGTCAGCCATTTTAGGGGCCCATGGTAGGTGCTCAATTAAAAATTATTTTGAATTCAACTTACATATTTCTACATTTGTGAACTTTTTGCCCTCCCTTTTCCATACTCCTGACCTTTATATTTTAATCTCTCCCATCAATCCTCATTTCCTTTTACTGGTTATGAGACTGATAAATAAAATCATTTGAAAATATTCCTAAGAGAAATCAGGACCCCAGAATAACTAGTTTCCTCTTTTTGCCTTAACAGAAGTTGTGGATAAATTTTTCATTTCTTTGGCTAAAAAACAAAACAAAATCCCTAATTACCATATTGTGATTGGTTTGATTAAAGTTTATAGAGCATGTCCTGGCTGGTGTGGCTCGGTTGGGCATCAGTTAGGTTGCCAGTACAATTCCTTGTCAGGGCACATGCCCCGGTTGTGGGCTCGATCCCCAGTAGAGGGCGTGCAGGAGGCAGCTGATCAATGTTGAGCTGTCACATCGATGTTTCTCCCTCTTTAAAAACCAATAAAAATATTTTTAAAATAATAAAGTTTATAGAGCAATCAAAATTTGCCTAAAAACAAAAGTTTTTTCTAGCCATTTGTAATTCAATTTACAAAAACATTTTTTTTAAATTAAGTCTTTCTAGTGTAAACTTAAAAAAGTCTTACTAGTAAAAGAAAGATAATTTCAGGAAACAACAGCTATATATCCACCCTAATCTAGCAGCAAACTTTAAACAAATGAAACAGTTATTCAGTGGTTCAAGTGAGTTTCCTCCCAACTGAATCTGATTTTAACTTTATGCAAATCTACTACTAAAATGATCTATCTGCCAAATTTTATTTTGTAAATTATAATAGAAGAATGGGTAATGTCAATATAATCATTTAGGTGGCCCCTTTTCATGGCCTAACAACTCAAGGACATATTTACTTGGTAACATAGGAGGTTCTCATACTAAAATCAGATGAAATTTAGCTACTTGTGAAATTATATGTTGGCAAGAGGCAAAAATGCAAGAATTTAGAATGTGTTTGGTAAATATAAATGACAATAGCTTGTAAATTCTTGCTAATTTTAACCCAACTTAATAGCACCTACATATTTATATGCACATGCTTACTTGACTTTAGCATTAAGAAATTTAAATCCTCTTTAACTTGTTCCCTTATTCTATTCAGGGAGATTGAGATTCATTGAGATTCATTAGTGATAATTGTTCATCCTTGATCAAAATTCACCACAGGTCACTAGGGGGCAGGAAGCCATTATAATTTCTCATCTTACTCATTTGCTGACAGAAAAAGATGGCTGTGAAGATTATAACTCTGCTTGGCTCTAAACTGAATGTATCAATGTACTAACTGCCATTATAATAAATCACAGGAAGCTAGGATCAAATGATGACCAAAAAAGAAAAATTAAAGGACATGGTTTCATTTCAGAGTGAAGAATATTAATTTTATGTGAGAAAATTTCTATAATTCTATCCTACCTATTTGAGAAAGGAACAGAGTTAATTAGGTAGACTATGAAGCCCTCAGCTAACCTTTAAAAAGCTGCATGTTTTTATTCTACGTAATGCAATTGCTTAAACAATCTCTTTTTTTAAAATTAGGCAAAGTGTTGCTGCAAAAAATATAATTCTACCCAGAATCGCTGGGGCAGGTTAGGGG